CACCAGACTGACATGCCAAACTCTCTCTGGCTCTCTGTGATTCCAAGCCCTGCTGACCCCTCCCTCTAGTCTAGTTCTAGACATAATGAAAAGGAGCTTTAGATGTACTTTCCAAAAGCCCAAAGGACACAAAATGTAACAGAACCTTGAAAAAAGATGCTTAGATCACAAGCTTAACAACCATACCATCTAGCACATGAGGGAGAGTTCAGTGAGAAATTCCAGAAAAATGCTTCTTTAAACCGATAACAGCCAACTGTCAATGTTTATAAGAAAATTTATTTGGGGGAAAAGGTAAGGGAAGAGACCAAATAACACAGAGGTTTTCAGATAAAAAACAAAAAGTCAGTCAACCTAAACAAGTTACATTTTATGTGGTTGAGTAAAGTTTTGGGTTTCAGAGCATGTGTGGAATACTTTGCAGAAAATATTAGTCCCTTTCAGAGTATCTTTGGTCATCTGATTTGCATTCTTCCAAAAGAGAGATGGGACAGGGTTGGTGCCCCAATATTTACTGGAATTTGAGACAAGCTGAAATGGGCCTTCTTTTGGAGGCAGACAGAGTAGCCAAACAGTACGTTTATATCACATTCAACACATTCAAATATGGCTTCCACAAATATTCATGGGAACTGTCATTTGTTAAGGGTGCTAGAAATGGTAGCTCTGTGAGTGGGAAACTACAGTTCCCAGGGTTGCTGAGGGTGGGGAGCCATGCTCTTTAAATGTGTGTTGAATGTGCTTGAAATGTATGGTGTGGATCTGCCCTGCCTGTGTAGTTTGAGTCAATGGCAAGATAAGCTCCATCGCTGAGGTAAATGGCAAAGCCATGCTGTCAGAGCTGGCTCCCGGTCCCAGCTCACAGAGGACCAACGCTAGCCGGCAGTTATGTACAAAAGTCTTTATTGAAGTACAGTTTCCATTTTCAAGCCGGAGCGCCCCAGCTCTACGTCTAGGGGTTAGATCGGCGAAGCTCCATCTGAGTCTCCGCCCCTGTACACCAGTTTAAGATTCTAGCCTTACTCCACCTCTTACGTCTCTCCTTTCTCCTCTGGGTCCTGCTACCACCCGGGGTCCCTTCCTTACTGGATTCTTCTGACGCTGACCCACCTGACTCCTCCCCCACTTTACTGCGGGCTTTGGGACCTGGCTCCATATCAGGGCTGCCAACTGCGCCGCCCTCCTGTACATTTGAACTTGGCGCGCGCGCCCAGCCTTCAACCTTCCTCTCGACCGTTTCCTCGCTCCCCGATGGAGGCGTGGCCAATCCTGACTCATGTCCTCCCACTGGCAGTGCGCCGCCTGATCCCGATGCCTGGGACTCCTCCCCCCTACTGCACTCTGGTGTGGACGCTGGTCCTGATTTCCAACTGCTACTCTCTGAGTCCCCTCTGGCCCCTTCTTCCTGGCGTGTCCCCCTCGGCACCCCCCTTGCTCTGACCAAGGGAGCCCCTTTCTGTGAATCTTCCGATTCGCTGGAAAGACTCAGAGACCTCGGACCGCTGTCATCGCTAACATTTCCCTCGGACTCCTCCCCCTCGCTCTCTATTTCCTCCCTTTCCTGTGCCTCTGCTCCTGAACCCCTGACACATGCAGTCAAGAATTTACTTAGAAGAGGGTTCCACCGTTTAAAAGGGTTGGGACTGGCCAAGGAGCAAGCTAGTTCAGATGAGTGTTGTAAAAAGAAAAGAAAAAAAGATAACACATTTGGAAAGTGGGTTGGATCTAAAATCAAGGATATTGATCTACACAGTGGGCTCTTAGCAGGCATTCAAACTAAACAGCATTATCAATCATTATTGGAATGTAGCCATTTGTCACAACCCAAGGAAAACTGGAAGATTCTTGTTTCAAGAACGGAAACTTATGAGATAATGTCTCTGGAAATCATGGCATTTTCGAAGAAACTTCACAGACAACCACTTTCTTGGAGGCCTGGAAACAGTAACCCAGATCAGATTACTTCTGTTTCTCTGGTCACAACTGGAGCTATACTAGCTGCAGTAAGGAATACAGTAAAAGTGCTTTTAAGTCTATTAACTCAAAGAGATTATCTCCTTCAAAACAACAAAAAACAAGTTCTATTGATTTACAGTGTATAAACACAATTACAAAGAGACCGCCCACCATCCCAACCTACCCCCTACCCCTCCTCAGCTCAGGTCAGCCTATTATGTTTTGCCAAATTCCAGTTTGTGTTTCTGGTGGATGATTCTCTCCTTTTTTTCAGGAGCAGCATAACTTAATAATAACTGGCTTTGGACATGGTGGAAAGGCAAGGAGAATATAAGGGGTCTGTGTGTATATATATGCCTTGCACCTACTGTTTCTGTGCAGGAGAAAATGTGAAGAATCCCATTTGGATCTTACATGCAGGGAAGGAAGAGCAACTTCTATCCCCTGTTAATTCTGCATGGAGTGTAAGAGGCTGTCAATGACTACTAATATCTCCAGTGTTGAAGGAGATGTGCCCCTGAATACCAATTACAGGAGAACACAAGTGCAGAGAGTGATATTGTGCTCTTGTCCTGCATACGGGCTTCCCAAAGGCATCTGGTTGGCTGCTGTGAAAACAAAGGTACTGGTCTACATAAGCTTTTAGTTTGTTCCAGCAGGGCTCATCTTATGCTCAAATAATAGATTTTTGCTCACCTTCCATCTTGCCATTGTGAGGGGAAAGTCAGTGATCCATAACAATGGATCAGTGGCAGCAGTTTCACACAAATTCAAGTTATCATAAAGCAGCCACACTAACCATGGGGCAAACCTAATGTACTACCCTAATGCTGGAGCTTTGCATTTAAAAGGATAAGCATCTTCCATTCCTGTCAGCGATACGCCAGTCCTCCATAGCCTTTAATGGGCTCTTCGGAAGATAAAAATTCCAGACATTATTCTTTGTGCTGTATTATTATTCCCAACCTCAGTCCTGCACCAGCAACAGAATATCCCCATCCCTATGACTAGGGACTAGGGCCGCTCAGAAGGGACCTCACTCAAACATGCACACGTATAATGGTAGAGGCCTGGCTGGAAAACTTAAAGCCCACTACTGCTACACAGGAGATGGATTGAAGAAAAGAATATATATATATATATATATATATATATATATATATAGGCTCCACTCCGTAACTTGACCAATTGTGGCTAGGAGCAGCTAGGAGCTAGATGGGGGGATCTTTAAAAAAGTGTAGACTTGCACATGCTGGCCAGCTTCCATTTTGACTCGAAATATTCATTCTGGGCTTCCCAGAAGTATGGTACCAAGAAGCTGCGCCCAACCCCCTCCTTGTCAGCTGATGCTGCTGACAACATGGAATAGGAAGACAAGTGAATTATCAGCTGTAGACCAATCATCCAAGAGAGTGGTGGTAAGAGGGTGGTACCAAGGGAGAATGAGTGTCCCATTCCAGTATCCTTTTTTTAAAAAAGTGACATTTTGAAAGTTATCCAGGGGCACGAGGCCACTTCCTGGATATTATGATCTACAATGAATTCCCTTTTCCCTTTTGGGGGGTTAATTTGAGCAAGTGAACATCCTTCCCCTGCACGGTGGTATCCAGCTTCCCTCAAAGTATCAACATCGGAGTAGAATTCTGTGTGGGGAGGAAACTGATTCCGGATTTTCAGCCGTGTAATTTTTTCCCACTGCTGCTGCTCCTTTAATAAGAACCAACCTATTGGGGGGAGGGGGGGAATCAATTAGGGGCTGAGGAAGGAAAGGCGGCTGGTGCCTTCTGGAAGGGAGAGGGACTCAACTAGCATAACAACTGGGAAAAATCCATCAAGAATGCCTGAGTAAACCCGCTGTCTGCTCTGGCTAGGAAAGAAAACAGCCCGGCCTTAATCTGTGGCTAGCAGTCAGTACACGCTGTCGATTAAATATCCATCAATTTGTACATCACACTTTGTGCTTGTGTACCCAGAGCCAGCGGTGCACCGAATTACAGCACTGCAGGTTTGCCAAATGGGTGCTGTCAACTGACAGGCCAAGAGGCCCTAGAGCAATTTCACTCACTTTTGATTCATGACTTGTCAGAATGCTAACCAAATATTCCATTTTCACCCTCAGGCTGCTTCTCTTACTGCTGACTTGCATCGCCAACGAGGACTCTGCTCTTGCTTCTCGGAGGGATGTGTTGGGCTCCCCATTCCCTCGAGGACAGACTCTAGGGAGGATGGATTCTTAAATAACAATCTCAATTCTGACGGAGAAACAGTTCAAAGATAGAAAGGGGGTGGGGGAATGTAGTTGCAGCTTGCAGAACTTAGCGCCATGGGAATTCTTATTCTCTGTCTTTTCCTCCCGTATTTTGTTTTTAAATCACATTTGCAGGGACAGTGTTTTACATTCAGACTTAAGTCATAGAGGCAGCCTTCTTGCTTTTCATATATATTAAAGGACACCAATATATTTCATGTCCTTTAGACCTTCCCCTTCCAGATTTACAGGGTTGGTACTTGGAAAGGATGCTCTGGAGCAGACAGCTTTGCATCCACAAATGTTCTGACCCAGGATGTATAACATTCAGCATCTTCCTTTGATAATCCCTAATGCTTGAATCACATGGGTTTGTAGCAGAGTGCCTGTCGTAGTTTTCTGGCTAGAAAATGTGTTCTTACATCGGATGGAAGGCGCAGTGGAAGCAATATCATGAGGGTTTAGGGAGGAATACTCTTGATTATGGGGGTTTGAACATGTGCAGGCCTCTTCCCCCCTCCTTGTTTCCTTTGTCTCTAATTATCTCCTCTCTCTAAGACTGCTATGGCAGCTTCCATTATGCTGCAAACTCATACATATTTATGTACGTATGAGCCCCATTAGGAGTGGAAGGTGAGTATGAGAAACATATGGAGTTTCCTTAGCAACTGTGAGATGCCAGGCCCTAGTGGAGTGGGTTGTGTGTGTGTTTTACCAGCTCAAGAAGTGGGCCTCCCATAGGTGTGGGGGGCACCAGTAAGAGCACAGAGAGAGAGATTTTTAACATGCTCTCACTGGAAGAATGTCACACTTTTCAGTAAAGGCTCAGCTTTCCCCAAACTGTAAACCATGATTTCACTGAAAGATTAAAAGCGGGGAATAGGGTTGTGAATCCTGCCCACTGGGGACTCAGTTACTTCAGGGTGAAGATAAAAAAAGCTGGGGAATGGGGGAGCCAGAGGGAGAGGTGAGAATGGGTAGGTGTGGTTGCAGATCAGGGATCAGGAAACGTTGTCAGCCTGAGGGCAACATTTCTGTCCCTGCAACCTTTAGGGGTCACATGGCAGTAGTGGGCAGAGACAGAAGCAAAAAAGCAATGAATATAAATTCTACCTTTGCACCATAGGAGAATCGCTACACCAACCCACCAATCCCTCTGTCCTCCATCCAGGTAAGCAATGGATATGTATTATTAGAGCTAAAGGACACATTCCAGCCAGGCAAAACCATTCAAGGGGGTGGAGCAAGGCCAGCGACATGACATGAAAAATGGCTTGGCAGGGAGGCCGTATCAGGAGGTCAGGAGTGAGCTACACCTGGTGGACAGGATAGTGGAGTGAGAAGAAGTGGTGTAAGAGGAATGTGAGGGTTCCTGGGTGGTTCTGAGGGCACTGTAGATGCAGGACAGGCATGATTTCTTAATACATTGGTACCTCAGGTTAAGTACTTAATTCGTTCCGGAGGTCCGTTCTTAACCTGAAACTGTTCTTAACCTGAAGCACCACTTTAGCTAATGGGGTCTCCTCCTGCCGCCGTGCCGTCATGCCACAATTTCTGTTCTCATCCTGAAGCAAAGTTCTTAACCTGAAGCACTATTTCTGGGGGTTAGCGGAGTCTGTAACCTGAAGCGTATGTAACCTGAAGCGTATGTAACCTGAGGTACCACTGTAATGTTTTTCGAGTTACTGAAGAAACATTTCCAAGAGCGTTAGGGAAGTATGACTGGTGGCCTTTAAACAACTGCTACATATTCTCCCCATTTAACAGCAGTCTTGACCCCAAGGGATGACGTTGTTGTTGGTTGTTGTTGTTTTTTAAAAATCCCATCCTTCAGTTAAAAAGAAAAGTAGTACCACCCTTGCAGTGAGGTTAAGGGTTAGGGGTAATTTGTGTGCCTGTTCGATTAAAACAGGATCAGAAGCACCCAGGAGAAGCTTTCTCCTCCTTGCCAACACCCTTCTTATCTTACCTACCATGAGCTTCCTTCCCTGTGGCTGGAGGCACTGAAGCCAGCTGCTACTTCCAGTTCTCCCCCCTGGAGTTGGCTGCTGTCTCATTTACCCAATGCAAATCAAGTCTCTCTTTTCCTGTAAGCCAGCTCAATCCTCTCACTGATCCTTGCTGTGCTCTGGCAGGCAGGCAAGAATCCCACAGCTACAGTTTTCCTTCTTTGTAGGTTGTCAATATTCAGATTTCTGGGGTACTTCTCAAAGTTGTTGCTAGGATCAACAATAGAAGGAAGACAGTCCTTGAAACCGAAAAGTGTCACTTTAATTAGGTACTTTCTGTTGTTGGTTTCAAGCTGCTTTTGCTATTTAAAGTGTGAGACCAGTGAGTCCTCTTCTAACAATTCATTGTGGCAATTCTGCTAGGCCACAATGATAGAAACATGCATTTCTTTTCATCCTCTGCTTTAATGAGTAGTTTGTGGTTGGTCAACACTCTGGATCCATTGTGCTGGGGAAAACTGACATCTGGAAGGGACCCGAGATCAGCCTTTGCCAACTTGGTGTCCTCCATATATTTTGGACTACAACTCCTCTCAGCCAGTCTGGTTGGTGAAAATTGTCCTAGAGAGCATAATTCCTAATTATCATGGATCAACATGATTCTAGATTTGTGGGCAGGAAAGATTCCTTGTGCTGTAAGATATCAATGGCCTGCAAAAGCCATACGTAGAACATATCACTACATCATATAGACGTAAGCATTTCTAAAGCATTTCTATTCTACCAAAGAGGCTTGTGTAGTCTCCAGATTCATTCGTTGACCCGAACCGTCAACTGGATTGTCTAACTCCAAAAGGTTAGTGAGAGTGAGGCAGAACTTACCCTTGTAGAAGCCATGCTGGCTTTGCTCCAGCAAGACTTGTTCTTCCATATGCTTTGTATTTCTTTCTTTAACAATGCTTTCCAACAGCTCTTCTGGTACAGTCCTTAAGCTAAAGGGACTGTAATTTACAGGATCTCCCTGATCCCTTTTTTAAAACTTGATGTTACATAAGGCCACTTTCCAGTCCTTAGGCACAGAGGCTGCACTTAGGCTTGCTACATATTTTTGTTAGAAGACCAGCCATTTCCCATTTGAGTTCTTTAAGCACTCTCAAGTGGAAGCCATCCAGACGTGGTAATTTGTCAGTTTTTCATTTGTTAGCCAGGCCAATGGTAGCTATAAGCTACGTGGGGAATGGTATCAGAAAATGCTGACACAGCTCAGGCATAGCCTAATTTGTGCTTTCCTTCTTTACATCCTCAGAAGAATTAAGAGCTGTAGACTTTTAGCATTCTGACCCCCGAAAAGCCTCCCTGATGAGCCAGCAAGGAGTAGCCTTAGACATTTTGCTACCATAGGGGGAAGTCAAACACTTCGTGCTCCACAGGGCCACTAACATTTCTGTGGCTGCAAATCTTGAAACATCTTTCTACATAATATGTTTTTAATATACTGTATACAGCACCTCTTTTTTATTTTACAAAAAGTCATAAGTACTTAAGAAGGTGCCTCCTAAACTAAACCAAAGGTTCATCGAGATCAGGGATGAGGAACCTGCGGCCCTCAAGATGTTGTTAGACCCAGCACTGCTCAGCTTCAGTCAGCACGGCCGATGGGCAGAGAATATGTGAACCTAGGAAGCTGCTTTATAATGAGGCATGGTCCATCTCATTTAGTATTGTCTACACTGACTGGCAGCAGTTCTCCAGAGTTTCAGGCAGGGGTCTCTCCAAGCCCTAGCTGAAGATACTGGGAACTGAACCTGAGAATTTTAGCATACCAGTCATGCTACTGGGCCACAGCCCTTCCTTGATCCTGCGAGTTGTAGTCAAAAACATCTGGAGGACCAGACCACTGATCCAGGCTGTCATCCTGTTTACTATTGTGACCAATCAAATGCTTCAAGTATCCCAACAAAAAGGAAATGAAGGCAACAGCCTTCCCCTGTAACTGGTACCCAGTGGTATTTTATCTCTGCACTGGCAGGTTCTTCTTAGTGATCATGGCTAATAGCCTTTGATAGATAGATCCTTTGTGGATTTCTCTAATTCCCTTTTAAAGCTGGTAACCATCACCAGGCTCATAGCAGTGAATTAATTCCATACATTAATTACATGTATGAATAAGTACGTTATTTGTCTGTCCTAAACTTATTGCCTGTTAATGTCATTGGTTGACCCCTAGTTTATGTTGTGAAAAAGAGAAGAGGGGAAGGAAACGTTATATTCACTTTCTACACACCATGTGTCATTTTATAAAACCCCATGGCATCCTTCCCCCTAGTACTCATTTGGCTGAATGAAAATGCCCCAAACACTTCAGCCTATGCCCTCATTAAAAAGAAGGGCAGCCAGGACTGCAGCAGAACCTATGAGGAGAGTGGCCATGTGTCCTACTTGAAGAGCTGGTCAGAGGAGAGACCGCTGTTTGAAGGAGTCCTCGATTTGAAGGGCGGTCCAGTCCATGTCTGGTTTAACATTAAAGAACTATAAGTTGCCCACGGGCCATTAGCACCTGGGCAGTGGACCGAGCAGGCACACAGCTCAGCAGGTTGTAATCTTCTCCACAATGGTGAGATGTATTGCAGTTCTATTAAAACTGTAGTCATTATTTACCAGTTTGCAAGTATGCATACAAACTAGAATATGCAGATTTTACTCAGTCCATGACCTCTTTTGTCCTCTTTTTTTGATTATGCATTTCCTATTTTTGGTGATGTGGCCATCCCACCCTGGGCAGCAAGAATGAGAGCATTAAACAAGGGCAAAAGGCTGTGCTGTTTGCTGCCTCTGTAAGCAGAAATCCTTGGTGTCAAGTGGGAGGCAGAGGGAGGAGAGACATTTGCTTGTCTGGAAACTATTAGTTAAAAATCATGGCATTGATCAGTTCAGGGAATTCAAAAGTGGTGTGCAGAAACTGTCTACGACGTTTCCTTATTAAAATGCTGCTCCTTACCAATTTCTTGTGTGCTTTAATTGCATTATGGGTGAGGAAAGCCTGGGGCCTAATTTATGGATCTCAACCTGGAGCATCTGAAATGCTGATGATGGTGAATGCTGGAGGCATTCAAAACACACGAGGGAACACAACAAACATCCCTCCAGGGCATTGTCTTTGGATTGTTTAATAAGAATGTGTATTTCTAAATCCTACCTCCACATCTGTGCTGAACTAGTTTCTATGCATTGGGTGCAGGGGTTTCCGGTTTCTGAAATCATTGTTCCCATACACAGATACTTCCATGCTTATTAATATCTAATCTTAAGATGAGAAGAATTGGTAACCGGACAAGAGATTCTACCTAATCATTCCCAGCCAAATTGCTGATGGGCTTCAAAACAGTGAACCATGTAACCACCAATTTTAACCAGTCATGATCCTGGGTTCAGAAAACACACCAAGCCACATCTTGCCCTCAGCAACCCCCAGCACCTTGCCAACCACCTCACCCCCTAGATCACACCTACTACCCACTCCCCCAACTTATTCATTAGACCTTCCCCTTTCCACCTCATACCAGTGCTGCAGCCAAAGAGTTGACCTAGCAGGAGGAGCACCACAAGAAGTAGGCCAGAAATGATGGCCAGCTAATCTGGGACTGCCACCACCTTATCCAGGCCTACATACATTCCATCCCAAATGGTGGCAGTGGCAACAGATTAGCAGGGTAGCTATCAATAGCTTCTGGCTGCCTTCTTCCTTCCTGTACTGCTCCTCCTATTGGGCTGACATATCCTGATTGGTGATGGTTGGAGGAGTGGATCTCCAAGCTGGCCAGAGGAGGAGGAGGGTGGCTAGCAGTATCAGCCAACATGGGGATCTGGATCCTGGGGGCAGGGTTCCCAGGGCTGGCAAGTAGAGGAGCCTCTGATGCTTGCCTGGGCCACTCATGCACCACCCCCTAACATGGTGTAGTCCACCTGTATGTGGCCAAACAAACTGCAGTGTGATGACACTCTTACATTTTTATTACATGTAGACATGATTTGCGTCAGCATGACTTGCAAATGCAGCCATAGCTATTGTCTATTAGTATGCATTTCACAACACAGGAGCTCTGATAAATCACCTAAAAGAATGGGGGATGTGGGAGGAGAGGGCAAAGGGACTTAGCCCTGATCTGTGTGTGATATGATAAAGGTATGTGTGAAGCAAAGTCATCCATTCCAGCCACTGAATGTAATAATTTCAGCTTGCATAATCAGTTCATACCTGGTTAATTTTTTGTGCCATCTCTATTCTAGCAATACTCCATCCCCTCTTCCCCTCAAACAGAAAATGGCACATAATGAGATCATAATTGATTTACTCTCTTGTCTCCTGGGGAAAATTCTAAAATCTGAATTATATTTTCCTTTTCCTTTGCTAAATCCTTATATGTATGCCACAGCAAAGACTATTAATGGTGAGACTAATATTTTAAGCTTTTTCATTAAATGACTTAAATTATGGGCATTTTAATAGTAGAATTAGATGTTGTGAGATACAGAAAGCTGTTGCTGCTCCATATCTCTCTTTCCCTCCCTCCCCGCATTCCTGGCTAGGGCTCATGCAAGTTTCACCTGTAGAAACGTCCACTTCTTCACAACCATGAAGATGTATGGTGGGATGGATCGATGAAGCCCCCTCCCAAAACTGGTGTTGCTACTGCTTACCTGGGCAGGACTGGGGTGGATCAGCACTGGTAGATAAATGGGAGTGCTTATTTCTTTATGCACACAATATATTTTTCTCCTGTATTTTTATGAGACCATATTCAAAGTGGGTAATACAATGACTATATTATACTCTTCTTTACCCCATGGGCTAGCATATAAAAATTTCATAAATAAAAATAATTTTTTTATTTATATCCCACCCTCCCCAGCCGAAGCCGGGCTCAGAGTGGCTAACAACAATAAAAGTAACACAGTTTACAAAAAAATCACAATCAGTTAATTGAAATGCATTCTAAAATCAATTCCTTCTAAGATCAATTCAAAATCAGTGTCCAGCTTTATCTCTAAAAGACGTAAAGTCCAAGCCTTCAATTTGGGATGGTTTGAAGAAAGTAGTGAGGACAAGCTTTATATATAATAAATTCTGCCCAGTCTCAAGCTATTCTTCCCCTTATCCGAAAATAAGGCTGTCAGTCACAATACATTGTTATATGCCCGTTCAGTTCCCTCTCTCAATTCTGAGGCTGCAAATACTCAACTAAATGTATATAAACAGAATAATTTTTAAATGCACCTGTGAAAAACACCAGCAATATAAGAACTCTCCTTTCCTACGCTTTTCAAAAATGCAAGTCTTGTTCTTTAACATAAGAGTGAGGGTCCCAGTCCAGCTGATAAAATAGATAGTGATGGCAACATATTGCCTCACCTGGGGCCCAGTCCCAGCTGGTGAAGATGGAGATGGTATAGTTCAGCTCATTTGCTTCTTCCAGAGAGAGAGAAATGTCTAACCTTTCATTGTAGGTAGCTTTTCCTAGGCTAGTGGTAGAGAGCCTGTGGCCTTCACTATGATATTTGGGCTCCAACGTCCGTTAGTCCCAGCCAGCATGGCCGATATCAGGGATACTGCTGCAGGCTATCAACACCTAGAAGGGACCACAGGTGTTTCACCCCTGCCTTAGCCTTTCAGCTACTTGGCATTTTTTAGGCAAGGGATTGTAACGTGTGCAGCCACAGACATAGCCACAATACTCCCTCCTCCACAAGCAGCAAAGCTTTAAAAATAAAATTTCTACCACCCAGAAATACTGTATAGTGCTATACGTGGCTGGAAGTGTGTGAAGGCACTGCATTCTACAGTGTTTTCTGTGTCTTTTAAAGTCTTTGGGCAGATGTCAGAAGCCTCCTAGTGATGCTGAGTTTTTGTTTGGTAGTCTGCATGCATTTTCAAGGCACCGAGATGCTTTGCCAGGGTGCCACCTGGGTCAGTCTGTTGGCTGCCTGCTTTGTTTGCCTCCCAGATGCTGTAGAAAGTACTGAGCCTTGGTTAGAAGCGCCGAGTTGGCAATTTTTGATATTGCTGTTAACATAATCAGCTTTTGCTTCTGCAGCAATTAGCATATTATTACCCATAATGTTTTGCATGGCAATTTTGTTGTAAACATTTGTACTAATTCACCATAACCTAATTATTTTTATGATGCATAATTATGGAATATTTTCCAAGAAGGAATGGTTCTGTTTTCTAGCGCGTAATTCTTTTGGAGGAAAATCGGGTCATTCTAGCGCTGTCCCCAACTCCACATCTTTCCTTCCAAATCTGTTTCATTTGGTTATGAGCACACTTTGCAAAGTTTCCCTGAATCTCCTGAGCAGCTGAAGAATGGATCCTTTTTGTATGGAGAGCGGACTGAACCAATGTGGTCCAATCAATCAGGTGTTAGATTCATAGTACCTCAAGATCTGGGATCAAATCCCTGCTAGGTCAGCCTTGCATTTTGCTGTTCAGTTACTTGCCTGGGATGCTAACACTTTCTGGGAATATAGTTTGCCAGAGTGATTGATAAACCTCAGCAGGGATGGGGGTTACCTGTGGCCCTCCAGAGGTTGTTGGCCTACAACTGCTCTTATATAAAAACATAGGATACTTCCTGATACAGAGTCATACCAGTGCTCTATCTAGCTCAGTACTGCATGTGCTGACTGACAATCACTCTCCAGGGTTTCAGGCAGTGGTCATTCCAAGCACTGCTTTGAGACTGAATCTCACTAATCTATGGTCCTTTGACCTGAGCTACAACCCTTCTCCACTGGACACGCTGGCAGGGGCTGGTGTGAGTAGGAATCCAACAACATCTGGAGAGCCAAATGTCCCTCATCCCTGACCTGCAGGGAGACAGGTGGGCAAAAATTGTGTGGATACCTTTATCTGCAAGGTCATACTAAGCTCACTGGTGCTCTTGAACAAGTCACTACTCCCAGAATCAAATCTCAATACTAGGAATGAGGAAACCTACCTCGCAAAGCTATTGTGCAGGCAATGTGGGGCAAACATCCTAAACAAACAAGCAACTGAGGGGTGCCACCTTTTAGGGCTACATTCATGGCTATGTCTTCTTACTTCCTCTGCCATTATGTATGTCTATGCCCCAAAGGACTTCATGAATGAAAGATGCAATCATACATTTAATTCCATGTCTAGTTTGCCATGTATGCAAATGTTACACAAGGGTACCACTTAAAGTTGCAGTTCCTAAAGTCACAGCTGATGTCAGTAGCAGTTCTGCCTGTCTTGATAAAGAGCAGTTCATCCCCGAAAACACTCTTCTCTCAGAACAGATCCAGGAGCAGAGCTCATGATAATACTGAGGTCAGGACAGTTCCTCCCTCTGACAGCTGAAGTGATGGCTGTGGCGATCACACAGGGCCCCCGGACGTTTCATGGTCTATTGACCCTGTGCCACCACTGCGGTTGCTTTCTTTGCTGCCACCACCCCGCTTCTCACGGGGACACACGGAGTCCAGACAGTTGTTAACATAAAAAAATAATCAAGTTTATTTTTAAATGCAGGAATAAGCGTATGGTTTCGGTTTATTTTTCTCTTGTCAGACTCCTAATCTTAGTTCCTAACAACTTCAAACTGAATTATTCCCAACTGTCTATCTGACTCAACCTATCAATTCCTCTCACTCTCTCACAATACAACTCTACCAACCCACTGCCTATTCCACCCTCTTCCTTCTCCAACACCCAAGCCTCAACTCCCAACTCCCAAACCTCAACTAACTTTTTAAAACCTCCCACTCTATCTTTTACTCCCCCCTTGCATTCTCACTGGCCAATCACATCACACACATTTTAACCCTTTCCTTGACCAATCCTAGGAGGCAAACGCCACAATGGCCCTTTAAAAGGAATCCATAGCAGAGCAATAAATAAAATGCAGATTGAAACTGCAATGTTTTCAATGTTGTTGTTGTTTTAAATAAGGACAGGGCCACATGGATTTCCTTATGGAGTGCATTTCATAAATCCAGAACTACCAAGACCTGTCAGTCTGACATTTTTCAGTGATGGGTCAGAAAGCCAGGTATAAGATAATGATCTTAATGCATGAACAGATTTTACAGGTGCAGTCATTCAGAGATGAGGCAGGTGAGGCCGCTGCTTCAAGCAGCAGAAGACCCCTAGAGGTGGCACACCTGTGGGTGACCTGCCTGCACCACCACCTCCATCAGCACCAGAGAAGCACTGCCACCATCGATGCTGATATCGGGCAAGATCTCAGCCATTTTGTGCAAGATCTTGCCCAAAATCAATGCCAATGGCAGTGCCACTTCTCCACCAGTAGCGGATGGGACAGGGTGTGTGGCAATGGCAGAGCAGGCATTGGTGGCAGGAGCAGGTAGGTGGTGGCAAGACCAGTGACAGCAGTAGAGCAAAACAGCACTTCCTGTTTCACTTTAAGCGATGAAACAGTGCACAGCACCCCTGCAGGCAGTCCTACAGATAGCCAAGTTTCAAAACCTTTATGACTTGAAATGTGAAAAACAGTACTTTAAATTCAGTCTGGGAACAAGTAGACCATTAGTTTAACCGGTGGTTAAACCCATTGTTGTAATATGTTCGGCTTGCTTGGCTTCCAACAGAAAATCTTCATGGCATTCAGGATGCACCCATATATGCCGTTCTCCACCTATACCTGCTTCCTGTTTGTGGACATGACCCTTTCTCCTAAAGAGGGAAATGGCCGGAGTCTCATGGGCACTAAAAGTGCCCAGTCACACCCTCCGGTGATTCAGAGGAAGGAAAAGAAATGAATTGTAGTAACCTTTACAACAATAAAACCCCACAGTGTTTCTGGCCAGGTGTGCAAAGAGGAAATCCCTCTCTAGGTGATCAACTTACACACTGAAGCATGAAGTTTGATTAGCCCTGTAACGTTTTATAAGCTTGCATAGCTGCAAATGTTATTAATGCTCATAAAGTTTACCCAAGCCTTTAAAATCCTATTGGGCCAATTCAGGTCTCGTTGGATTCCTGGGGCAATGCATTCCAGGGGTGATACAATGCCACGGAAAGTCATTATTCCTGTTTAATTTGTCTAAGGCGGATGCTGCTCATTTTCAGAGAGTTTCCTTTGTTTTTGTGTTTCCATTGTCTATGGATATGGAAGGGAGTGTAAAACAAAATGACAGGCACCGTTTTTGCTGTAGCTTGGATCACAAAAAGTGTAAGTCAAGAGCCCCTGTTCTTCCAGAGGTTCTAGATCTCTCCCCTCAGCTTGTGAGAGCCACTTCACATGTTTTGAGGCAGGGAAATAGATTTTTTTTTTCCTCCTGTAAGGGTACATGCTACAGGGAAACACCAGCAATTGTGATCCCTCTACATAGGGTAGTCTCAATATATTTTGCTGCCTGAAGTGAAGAATAAGAGGTTGCCTCCAGCTCCATGTCATGTTAAGAAGCCAACCACCACTGAAAGAAACAGACGAGTGTACTGGTGCAAAGCTACATGGCACAGGATTATAGAATTAAAGAGTTGGAAGGGACCACAGGGTTCATCTAGTCCAACCCCCTTCCTTGCAGGAATCTTTTTTTACCCAACGTGGGTATCCTGAGATTAAGAGTCTCTTGATCTACCAACTGATCAGCTCTGCCCTCCAGCAGCTCACTGCCGCTCCCCATCTCCCACCATCTGCTGCCTGAGGCAACTCTCTCACTCTGCCTAATGCTAGGCCTGGCCTGCCACTCTGCTACAGCATCCACATGCATCAAATGTACATCAGTGTCATATGGTTCACTGAGGAAATGGAAGGTTTTATTACATAGTCCTTCAAGGCAGGAGCACAGGTTGGCTTACAACATAAAATATGCAATATAGAACTTAATATAAATATATACACCGATTCATATCAGTTATATGTTTAGGGAGGTCTTCTGAAAATACAGATTTTTGTGCCCAGATTTTTCCTGACCTCTAAGATTAGACCTTTAAAATTTGTATCTTTCTAGCATGTTCCCATTTTGTGTTCTCATTTTGTACTTTTCTGTTGTGAACCACCCTCTGATCTTTGGATGAAGGACAGTATACAAATTTAATTAATAAATAGCTCTGCCACAGTATTTTACTGTTTTTGTTTATATTGTTTGCTTAATGACTTTATACCTTGTTCCATGTTTTTACTGCATGCTGTACACCTCTTAGATATCTTTTCATGTTGAACATTCTAGAAATATTCTAAATAAACCAATAAACAAAACAGCCACAAAGCTGCGTTAAACACAAATCAGCAACAGCATGTTGTGGTGAATATTTGGAAGGGACAGCAAAAACAATGGGAATGAGATGGATGCTTGTTTGCCACTGCGATAGTGATCTCCAATTCAAATTCTGAGTTGTCATCTAAGATGGCAGTCACCCCAATAGCCAAAGGAAACAACTAGGGGAGCTTTAGAATCAAATTGGCATTGAAATGTTGGTTCCTGCGTCATCTTGGGCCTGCTCAGCAGCTGGTTGCCTTGACTCGTTTTTGTTTTTGTTTTTACAGTTGCAGCATGGATACAAATCTAAACCTTTGCTGATATGCCGTAAGCTCTCGAGAGACACCTTCTTTTCCTGGTGATAAGACTCGAGCCTGACGGCGTGGAAGCTGAATTGGGAAAGTGGGGCTCTGTTGCATCGATTCCATGTATCCTTGGAATCCTTGTATTAGCATGAATTAATAGCCCCTTGTGCACAACGAAGAGGAAGAAAGCATGCCAGAGTTAATAACGAAGCCAGCCATCGAGTTAACAGCAGGCAGAGAGGTGACTGAAGCTGTCTCCAGCAGCTGCCTCACAGCCTTTCCTGCTGCTGCAGCCTTGTAAAATGAGAATTTCACATGGCACAGCTTTGTGCTCTGAGCTGTGAAGGCTCCTGATTCCAGAGCCTGCTATGTGGTCCTGTGGGGGTGCTCCAGTTTATGAAAATAGCCACCTGCCGTGCCCTAGATTACTAAACCTAATGCTGAGTGCTGGAGTCTATATTTCACTTAGCATCCCCTCTCATCTTGGCTAAGCTGCCAAACTCTTGCAATGTCCCACATGGCATCTCATATGCCTGTAAGAGCCAGAGAGCTGGATTCATGAAAGGGAGGCAGCTTTACCTTCTGAATGACAATGCCGGTGAGATGGTCCAATTTTCTCTCTGTTTGTTTTGGAATAGCTGCAAACAGTTCAAGTGACAAGTGGAGAATGGGAACAGGAGGGAGCACAATGTTATCATTGAGTGTGCAGTTGATAAAACCTCCAGTCCCATAACCCTTACTTACAACCAAAGGCCATACATTCTGAAAGCTCTGTATCTGCAATCATGTACCATGTGCTGATTTGTTTCTGAGGGGCATGTTTGGGTTTGTTGGATCAGGCCGAAGGCCCATCTAGTCCAGGAAGGATCCTGTTTTCACAGTGACTAATCCAATGTCTTTGGGAATCTGTATGTAGGACCTGTGCACAGCTTCACACTCCCCACTTGTCACTCCTGGCAAATAGTATTCATCAGAGGTATACTTGCCTCCAACAATGGAAGGAGAATATAGCTACCATAGCTTGTAGCCATTGATAGCCTTAATCGCCATGACTCTGTCTCTTATAAAGTCATCTAACATGGTAGCCATCATTATTTCGTTTATATGTTGTGTGATGTACTTTCTTTTGTCTGTCTTTAGTATTCCAACATTCAGCTTAATTGGGTGGTTCTAAGTTCTACTGTTAAGACAGAGGGAGGAAAAAACCCCCATATCTACAAAATATTCCTGCACTGCAGAGGGGTGGACTAGATGACTCCCAGGGTCCCTGCCATTCTACAATTCAGTGATTCTATCTTCTCTACACCATACATCACCTTGTACATCTCTATCATGGCCCACTTACTTGCTTCTCACTGTCTGCACTAACAACAGAAGTGGTTTTAAGGTGGTGTGGCTGATGCGGCTGCACTGGGTGCCACGCTGAAGGGAGCCACAACAATGCTACAAAACGGGGCACAAGAGGCCCACAGCCCCCCACTGCTCACAAGCCCCAAAGGTTGCAGCCATTCCTAATACAGGAGTTGCTCCAACCCTTTGATCATTTGGGTTGTTCCGTTTTGAACCTTTTCCCAATGAGTTGAAGTAGCCAGAATTATGCAGAGTATTCCAAGTGAGTCTCACCATAAATTTGTGTAAGGGTATGATATTGTCGATTTTTATTTCCATTTTCCCAACAATCACTTCCTAAGGATCCTTAGCATGGCATTCACCTTTTTCCACAGCTGCTACATTATTCCTGGTCAGTCACTGCCAGTTCAGACCTCGGTAGTGTATATGCGAAACTACGATGATTTGCTCTGACATGCTTCTCTTTCCTTCTTTTCTACACTTACATCTTGCCCTTCCTCCCAAAGGAGCTCAGGGTAGCCAACAACACGTGATAAAACAATACAAACACCTTGAAAACTTCTTTACACTTGCTTACATAGTAGTTCATTCTTCGTATCGTTGGTGAAAACTACAGTGATCAGATAGGAGTGAATTACTATCGGTGCTATAACACTGATGGCGGCTGAGCCTGTTGCTGAAGTAATTGCTATTGATCAGTTGGTATTGACAAGCAGGCCTGGTTCCAAGCATGGATCAAAAACCGTTGTATTTTATTACATTGTGTAGAAGGACAATGGATCAAAAACCTTATTGTATTGTGAGTCCGGAGGCTCACTCCATAGATTTTGGTATAACCTGGCCATAGAAGGTACAAAGACATATGTGCAATTAGCATCCCCAAATATCTAGAAAGTGAGGCAAGATATGGCTGAAAGAGGTCTTTGCTTGGTCTGGGGTCTTGGTGCAAGGTGGGGTGACAGGATTCCTGTTCTTCTAATAGTTATGTTATGCAGTGGGTGAACAGCTGCACCTGCCAAATGCTTCCTGCTGTGTGACTATTAAAGGACAGTAGCATCTGTTCACCCTCAATAAGAACTCAAGAGCAGCAGTCAGGAATTTGGCTCAAGAGCAGCAGTTGGGGAAAAGACTATCGTTTTGTGATGGACACTGCTTTCTGACGTGCTTGCGTCTGCAGTATGGTAATACCTGCTCAACCTGTACATGAGAAAAAGAAAGAAAGAAAGAAAGAAAGAAAGAAAGAAAGAAAGAAAGAAAGAAAGTATTTCTACTCCTTTGGAAACTGATTTGGTAAAGAAGTGGTAGTGAATTTTTTCCCCCCATTGAAGGTTGCATGCCCGCATGGACAATCTGTTGGTGGCTGCTTGCTGGTGGAAGTTGGGGCAAGAGCCAAAAGTGGTACATCGCTTTGTTGGGTGGCTGACCAGGCGAGAGGCTCAATCTGACCATTTCAATGCAGGTTGGTTTTCCCTTCTTTGGATTTATTAACAGGGAGCGATCGTCCCACATCCCTCTTGCATCTCATTCCTTGTTATGGTTGAGGCATTTAAATGCCACCTGATACAGTGCAGTATGGTTGCAATTTGGTATCCTGGTTTCCTTTTGCTATTTCATTCTGCAGCTATATTCCTTCCTTCCTTCTTTTGTTATGTACCTGTTTTTTTCAGTGTTTATGTTTATGTATGTAACAAAAATTCAATAAAAAGTTGAAGGGTGGGGGGACTGGGTGGGCCACTACCTTTTCTCCTTTTTCCACCACCTTCTCCCTCTTTCACTGCCCTCATCCCTCCCTACAGTGGGCTGCCAGGGAAGGGTCCAACCACCCTCCCAGTCATCTGAACTAATCATTTGCAGAAGGATTTTCCCCATCCTTCTATTGCCCTTTCCAGCTTGACACTCTCCATTATTTCCTCCCTCCTCGCTAGAAGTCTGAACTGATTGCGTCCCAATGTCTTCTCCTAATCATTCCATTGCTTCCCTGTTGGCTCTTGCCTCCTGCTGCTCTAGGTTTCTTCATGAAATCAGGTAGGGGGCTGCATTCAGTTAGGCTATGGGCTGCATGCAGCTTTGGGGGCCACAGGTTCCTTATCCCTGCTGTAAAGGCTGGGTTTTATATCCTACCTTTCAGGGGAGTTGGACTATACCATGTTCTGGAATCCTGCAGAATTATTTTGTTAGATGATGCAGAAGTATGCTCACAATAGAAAGAAGAATCTGAATGTAAAATTGTGTCTCTTGTAGATGGCAAGGGAAATGCCTTTTTTGAGTTAACATTTCCATAATTTCGTAATTGTGTGTGCTGGTGCAAGTTAATGTGAGACAAGTCTGCCTATTTTCATCTCGCACGTTGCAAGATAGGTAGGCCTGGGTAAATGGAAGGGGAGACAAGATTTAACACTCTTATTCTGTTTAAATCAGTCTTTGTCTGCCTGTGTGTGTGAGTCCAATTTAAATGGCTCACGCTGAATCCTAAATTTCACCTCTTCCCTCCGTTAAGTTTGCAAGAATAAATTTCTATTTGTGCACTGATTTAGGGTTATAGTTGAAATAAAATTAGTAATGCTAATTGCTGTAATTAGACTTCTTTAGTCCCCATATGAATTTTACAGCTCTTATCACACACAGGACAGAAGAAAGGCTTTCCCAAGAGAGACGGAATTAACTGGTATAGCAATAAAATCCCTCGCTTATTAGCAGGTGAGGCAGGAATGTGCTAACATAGCATCTCTGTCACCATCTGGCTGGTAAATGGTGGTATGTTTCTGAATAACACCACTCTGAAATTATGGCTGGGGATCCTGTCCTGTAAAATGTCAGGTGCAAAATAGGTGAGGAAGCACCTTTGTCGGGGTCAGTTTGTTTTGATGTAGGAAGCGCATCCTTTGAATTATTCAGAGTTTCATCAAGCAGAAGGGAATGGTAGCCACAAGGCTAGCGCAGGACATTTTGCTGCCTTTGGGATGCTCAGGCTGCACCTTTAGGACAACCAACCTAATTCATGCATCCCAGATGATTATGTGGGTCAGAGAACACAGCTATCCTTCAGGTTTTGCACTTTTGTGTATTTGTAATACAGTTTGCAACTGAATTGCAATGCAGTTCTCCGATCAATTGTACCAAAATGTGTACTTTACAGATAAGTTGTGTACACAGATGTGCTTTATAGGGTTAAATGCATGCAAAATGTGATTTAAAAAAATAAATAAAATGAAGTTTTTAAAAAATGTGGGTATTTGTGCAGTTTCTTTTAAATTGCAGATTGAGGCACAAACAAGTCAGAACTGACTTACAAATGAAAACATGCAAAACTGACCATCGGGAAATAAGCTGATGCACCCATCCCTTGAGAAACGTCTCGCGAGAGTAAAATAGACCACAAAGTTTTCCTTGCAACGAAATAAAATGGAAAACACAGTTGAACTCACTTTGCCTCCCCTGTGTGCAAGAGTTCAGAAAGAAGTATGAGGAATGTGGAGAACTCAGTGAGTAGCTGAACATCTCTCGGTTCACTGCTAGGACAGATAATATAGAACTTCTGGGTCTCATTACCCTGAAGATTGGTTTTAAGGTAAGCGACGACACTTTAAAAAACACAAAAATGGACTTCTTTTTACTTTGCCTAATGGATGCTGAGCACTTATTCTCATCTTATTTTAAAATCAATGTCATGATTTTTGAGTAGCAGGAGATACTCAAAATATATATGGGTATATCTTGGCATGGAGGTAGTATGGGAGAGATGTCAGATGCTGGCCTTTTCAGCCATTCACTAAGGCTCTTTTCCTTCATGTGGTGGAAAACAGAAAAGTAATGGCAGGTAAACGTGGATGGTATTTTTTAAAAGATTAATGAATTTCAGCTTTGAATTTTTTCATGATTCTGAAGAGGCTTCTCCCATCTTGCGGGAATTCTAATTTAAGACTGGCAGTAGGGGAAAGGCAGATAATCTCCACCTGCGTGAGAAAGAAAGGAAAGGAAAGGAAAGATAAGTCTTAAAAAGGAAAGGCAGGCTAGAGTGCAAGAGACTGCCTTGCCAGACAATTTCCATATCAGCAGAGACAATGTATGGGAAAGAAAGAGGAAGTTTGCAAAGTTTCTGAAAAGCCAAGTCTTAAAAGAAAAAAAAAGGGGGTGGACCTCAAGGGGTCTAATGAGGAAGCCTAATGAATATACAGCTCTTTTTAAAATGGGCTTCCTCCTTATGCAATGGATTATTTTTAACTTTGTGGTGATTTACATGCCAGTCAATTTGCATATATTAACCCAAGCCCCTCTCCCTGCTTCGCTGTGTATTTTCTCTTTCCCGAGTCACATCTCATTATAGCTCTTCTGGGACCAGGAAAATCATGGCTCTGGAGGCAACATTAATTTACCCAACGCATCCTTTGCAGGCTTTTGTTTTTTTTTAATCGCTTGCTACATATTGTACCTGGTATCTCTGAAGCTGTTCACTGCCTCAGCCTTCTGTTCCCAGCAGCAGAAGCAGCAGCGATGGCGGGGGATGAAAGGAGGGATATAAATGTAATGGGACGTACCAGGGAGGAAGGAGGTCGGCTTCCTTGGAGAAACTTGGGATGGAGCAGGAGAGGTGCTGAGAGGGCAGGGAAAGGGAAATTGGTTTTATGCCTAAATCACACAGGCTGCCTACTTACGTATTGCAGCACACAGCTTTACAATATCACTTTCCTAGTATGGATGGGCAACTCAACCAACTTGTTGTTGTTCCATTTACAGTGGTACCTCGGGTTAAGTACTTAATTTGCTCCGGAGGTCCTTTCTTAACCTGAAACTGTTCTTAACCTGAAGCACCACTTTAGCTAATGGGGCCTCCTGCTGCCGCGCTGCTGCTGGAGCACAATTTCTGTTCATATCCTGAAGCAAAGTTCTTAACCCGAGGTACTATTTCTGGGTTAGGGGAGTCTGTAACCTGAAGCGTATGTAACCTGAAACATATGTAACCCAAGGTACCACTGTATTAATTTGTTCCTGTGAGGCATCTCCAAGTGATTTACAATGTAACACACCCACACTCACACACCCAAACACCAGTTACACATATAAACAACCCAAGTGTGTGTGTGTGTGTGTGTGTGTGTGTGTGCGCATGCACGCGCACACACACACAAATGTAGATGGAGAGGTGGGAAGAGTACAGGGAGAAAGCCCTCTGTAAGCCATCAGCTCAACTTATAGCGAGAGTAATCAAGCCTCATCCTAGCAGCCCACAGGCAAAGAGAGGAATAAAGGGGTGTTTGAAAGAGACTAAGGAAAAAAATGGGTGGCAGAAAAAGAGAAAATTTAATATTGTTTTGGAAGCCGCCCAGAGTGGCTGGGGAAACCCAGCCAGATGGGCGGGGTATAAATAATAAATTACTATTATATTATTTTTATAAAAGGGATTGGCCCCATTCACTTCTGGCTCCACCCATCACAAGCATGTGACTCCTGGCAGATTACTCTCAAGGCATGCAACCCTCAGCGAAGAAAATTTGCAAGCACAAAGTGTTTCATGCCATATCCCCTTACCATCTCACTCCTTGCTTTCAAACAACAAGCTTTCATCTTCCAGCCATCAGGGACTGGTTTACACGTGCACATTCATCACAGTGTTATTGTAAACTTTTGCCATGTCCTGCCTGTGCAAATGGGCCACCTATATCTGACATCACAGACAGAATTCTCACTGCACCTCAAATGCAGTGTTCTGCTACAGGAGTAAACCTATACATTCCCTTGGGGAATTTGGTCATGCAGCCGGTCCAGCGGGCTTGGAGTTACTGCCTATCAGTTTACAGGCAGTGACTTCGAATCTGCTGGGCTTCTCCTTGCCTGCTTTTGGACAGAAGTCAGCTGTGCTACTGAGCTCCCCATGGGGAGCCAGTCCCAGCAAGCTTGCTCTCCACTTGCCTCCCTCGCCAATGCATAACTGGAAGTGCATAGACAGCCATAGCTCTTTGTGCTCCATGTGACATCAGGTGTGGGGGCAGGTGGCTGTGGTTTGGGGGAAATGGCCTTGTGGGCCAACCTGGGATCTGAGCCAAGACCAATTAGGCCTGTGAGTTCCACACTGCTAATTAAAAACATAAATTAGCTTGAGCATTATGTTTCAGCAGATGCACACACATGACCATTTTTGGAGGTGACAGCAGGTGCTGTGAAAGTTGCATCTATGAGACAACATTAGAGGTGCAAATCTCACTGTGAAATAGCCCCAAGCTTGTTTACTCAGAAGTCATAAGTCCCTCTGAGTTCAATGGGACTTACTATCTCTTAAGTGTTCTTAGGAGTGCAGCCTCAAAAGTTCAGAGGGACTAGTCAACAAGCCACTTACCACACTTGGTCCCTATGTTGTTTGAAAGCCTGGAGTTTATGGATTTGCAGGAAAATTGCACCAGGACCAAAACTGAAATCCGTATTAAATAAATAGCCTCCCCAGAATATGCCTGAATCCAATCATTGAGCTCCATAGAGTATGGAATGGAATCCAGGAGCATAGCGAGTGACCACAGAAGGGAATGGAGAGGTGGAGAAAGGAAAGCAATGAGGGGAAGAATTAGGTTTTTAATAGAATATTGAGGTGTGAAATTGTTGACTTCTGAGATAAAAGTTCTGATGTATGTTATAATATGATCATCCTGTTCTGTTGTCTCCATCTTCAGTCTCTGTTCAATCTCTATTTTCCATCTCAGTACAGAAGCGAGCCCTGCTATTTACATTTTCCCAAATGTCAGAACCTTTCATTTAGATTGCACAGGAAAGCTTTTACCTTATTTACCTTTGATCTCTGTTTAACGCAAAATTTGCAGACTTCTACAGCTTTATCTCGGGTACACAACACTTTGCGGGTGCTTTTATTTAACAAATAACAGTTTGAAAATGCCAGGTTTAAGGTGTGTTTTTTAATTGAATTCGGCTTCCCCTCCAGATGGAGCTTGGCACACATGGCAGGTTTTTTTTAAAAAAAATATACTGTTTAATAAGGAAGAAATATATTTCCATGCGTATCCAAAGCCTGCAGAAATGAAGGGCGTGAATAAACTTATATTAGGCTATATAGCTGATTAATGAAATGAATGGTATGTAGACTCCCTCTGCTTTTTGGCTAGCTACAGGAACTGCTGTGTACAAAGGCTGTAAAAGGCAAAAACGAAGGTGTTTTAATGGTTATTAACAAGCAAGAATATATCTTTTGGGGAATTTGTTAAAGGTACAAATAAGAGAAGGCTTTAAAAGGGGGTGGGTGGATCTGGTTTGCTTTAGTTATCTTGCTGTATTGTAAATGCTGATTATTACAGTACCAGCCTGCTCTGGGAAAATAGCTCATAGGTGCCTAAGATTTGACCTCAAACACAGGGCTAGTGCAGAGGCAGAATGTATGCTCTGTCGGTGAGTTCAAAGATGTCCTTCTTGATGTAGAAGACACACACACATAGTGGTGCCATCAGGGCAGGACTTTGAGGCGGAGGTCTTAAAGCAGAATGAACAGGAGGACCTATACAGTGGTACCTCGGGTTAAATACTTAATTTGTCCCAGAGGTCCCTTCTTAAGCTGAAACTGTTCTTAGCCTGAAGCACCACTTTAGCTAATGGGGCCTCCGGCTGTTGCCGCACCGCTGCTGCACGATTTCTGTTCTCATCCTGAAGCAAAGTTCTTAACCCGAGGTACTATTTCTGGGTTAGCGGAGTCTGTAACCTGAAGCGTATGTAACCCAAGGTCCCACTGTACACGCACATTTTGAAGTAGAGTTGCAGAGCTGGAAAGGCCCAGCCTCCTACAAATGCAGGTAATGCCCATTACCCTCTAAAGAGCTCCCCCCTTCCAGTAAGACCATTAAGTCCAAAGTCTTAAATTACCTGACTGCACTGTTGAACACACACACACACACACACACACACACACACACACACACACTGCTCTTTCCTTGCCAGTGCTGACTGGCCAAGGGGATATTGTGAAGCTGGCTCTCTGGAGGCCACCTTGCTATAGAGGAGTTGGTGAGTGATGTATCCGGGCCCCATGGATGGAATTCATTTCCAGCACAAGAGAACAATACCCCTTCTTCCAGCCAAGAACCATTTTATTAGTAGTAGTAGTATTACCCTCAGCATTTCATATGCCTCTTAAGGGAGGAAAAGAAGCAAAGGGACACACACACACACACACACACACACACTTTTTTTTACTGCATGCCCAGGACTCTTCCATCACATAATGTAACAATTATCGCAGCTTGCAGGCGAGGCGAAGAGGGGACATTTGGAAGAAGTGCCAGCTCCACGTTCCAAACGAAACAGTCGTGAATTCTCGAGCATCCTAGCCTCAAAATAAAATGGGCAATTAATTCATAAGGAGAGTTAATTGTTGTTTCTCGCTTTCTTCCTTCTCTCCCGCCACTTATGTGAAACCCAGAGATTCGTAAGGAGGTGCTGGGACTGCAGCAATTTTGCCTGAATCGTAAAGCTGTCCTTGTCAGTTTTCCTGCCTGCCTGCCTGCCTCTTCCCTCTCTGCCTCTCCTCAGGACTTTTCGGGTCAGAGGTGTTTCCTGGTTCATTCCTTTGTCCCTGAGTGAAAATTATTGGGGCCAGGGCCTATGCAAGTGTAAATCAGAACTGCTGCATTGATCTATCTCACTTGGGAGCTGGGCTTTGATTTCTCACATACCTTAAGCTGCCAAAGAAGAGGCAAAGAAAAACTGTCACCCCAATGTCCACGTTCTGCATTAGAATGGGTGCATATGTCGGTTTTTGTTTCTGTCAGTTTCTTATTTTTCCAATCTTACATCCATGCCTCCACATTTCCACAACAGTTTGTGATTTTTTAAAAAAATAAATATGTTTGAATATACACGTTCTGCCATGCAATTTTGCTTAATATGTTTTTTCAAACCAATTTCCCTTAACACCATGTATTTGTGTATGTTATTTTCACTAATACATGCAAGTTGATGACAATTTAATCTAGAATGTGCTTTCTTTCTTTCTTCACACATTATTTGGCTTGAGAACTGCATTGCAACATTTGCAATTGTCTGAATTTCAAAGTGTTTTGGCTTGCAGAACATTTTGAAAAGTGTGAGTTAGGAGAGTTCACCTTTAAATGCAAACTGAATCAAATTTCTCTCCCTCATTCCTACCTTTGGGGGGGGGCATAATCCCACCAGGGCTGGAACATGGCCTTTTCCTGCCTGATACAGAACAGAAAATGGCACCACACCTACCCCAGTTAAAGTTCATTATATCCAAGGTTTGGCACACCTGAGGTAGAAAATCCCCAACAGTGCTTTTCCCCATCCCTTGAAGTAAAAATTCAATAATAATTAACTGAACAACTATTTGCTGCCCTTTGCTGACTCTCCAGATCAGTAGCCTGAGGCAGCTATTTCCCTCTGGCTAACAGTAGAGCTGAAGGACGTGGGTGGTGCTGTGGGTTAAACCACAGAGCCTAGGGCTTGCCAATCAGAAGGTCAGCGGTTCGAATCCCCACAACGGGGTGAGCTCCTGTTGCTTGGTCCCTGCTCCTGCCAACCTAGCAGTTGAAAGCACGAAGTGCAAGTAGATAAATAGGTACCGCTCCAGCGGGAAGGTAAACAGCGTTTCCGTGTGCTGCTCAGGTTCGCCAGAAGCGGCTTAGTCATGCTGGCCACATGACCCGGAAGCTGTACACCGGCTCCCTCGGCCAATAAAGCGAGATGAGCGCCGCAACCCCAGAGTCGTCCGTGACTGGACCTAATGGTCAGGGGTCCCCTTTAACCCTAACAGTAGAGACAGCCCTGAAGGCCACTGATACAAAAGGTTGCCATTGACGCTGGTAACTGCTGTTGATGCTGTCTGAGGAGATTCTTTGAGTCTTTCACTTAAGCTTTCACTTCCAGAATCTACTTCTCAAATTTCCTGACTGAAGAGGCAGACCAAACGAAGTACAAAGAAACCCTGAATATCATCTGCTGGCAAAGATAAACATCTACAAGCAGTCAAGGGGAGCTGTCACTCAGTGGCAGAGCTGATCCTTAGCAGGCTCAAGGTCCACAAATGCTGGCTTGTATCTAACAATGAACATGTGGTTCCTAAACCCTCTGGAGCACATTGGGGGGGGGGGGCTGCAGGGCCAAGAAAGGAGAAGTGTTTTTGTGAAAGTGGAAGTTTGTTGTGCAAGTGGAATGGCAGTATTGGATACAACTCTTTGTCTATAGAATGCCCTTTTATATCATAGAGTCATAGAACTATAGAGATGGAAGGGGTCACGAGGATCATCTAGTCCAACCCTCTGCAATGCAGAAATCTTTTGCCCATTGTGGGGCTCAAACCCATGACCCTGAGATCAACAGTCTCACACTCTACCGACTGAGCTATCGCAGCTGTCAATGGAACCTTTGTAGCAGTGCTGAAAATGACCTTTATCTGAGTCTCTCAATGAGGGCTCTCAACTGTTCGTCTTGTTTCAGGTTTGTGAGCATCAAAGTGCACTTCTTGTGTTTTTTGTTTGTCTGTTTGACACTTGCTGCAAACATAAATATGCATTCTTTTGGTCCCGTCATTACTGCTACTTCTCTGCCCTCAGCCTCATTTGCTATTTCTCCTGTTTAATCTGATTGGCTGGAGTGACGTGTTTTTTTGCCAAGGTGGTGACAAAATGCTATACCCAAGGTGATGAACTCAAGCTTTAATGCAAAATCTAACACTGAACTTGAACTAAACTGCCTGCTTTTACAAACAGGAAAGCTGGATGAAAAAATTCTCTTGGAAATAAATAGATGGGAGATGCCGCAAATGTAACACATAAGAAATATTATTCATAAAACTAACTTTAATTGCCGTGCTGGTTTTTGGCTTTTAACGCTCCTTCAGTTTCATGAGTTTTAGGGGGTGGGGTGGGAAAGAGAAGAAAACATTATTTTTCGATAACAATGGAAGCCTTCCATGTTTCTGGAAAGTAGCATAGCACTCAGTGGGTGGCAGTTTTCTTATGGTCAGGTCCTGAAAACGTATAGCATTTGCGAAAGATACCTACAGGAGAACTTTCTCCTGTGAGTTCTCGTTCTCCTTATGGAGTTCAGCTTCTCCTTTCTCCCACCACCTATAAAATTTAGGATTAAACCACTCTAGAAAGGCTTGCTTAGTGAGTCAACTTTGGCCAGACATACCACACATCTCCTGTTTGCTATAACATCCACCGATTGGTTTATAACACTTCCTTCCTAAGCTCTCAAAAGGGCTGTACAGGAATTTAATAGTTTCACTTCTAGTAAAAGCCAATTGCAACCACATGAGAACCTCACATAAGTTGGGGAAGTTTGGAGGCCTTGAGCAATGTTATGAGAGCTGGAAATAAACTCTATACATAGGACCAGAGTAGCTAGTTTCTGGGATTTGTTGAAAACGCTCTTCAAGCACACAAGCCTCTAGAGTCTCTTTGCTTATAAAATGGCTTTGAATTATTCCTCACCCAACTTCAGGCCGCAAGCAGGCACTTTGCTAAGCTGAAGCAGGTAGGCATGGTGCAATTTTTAGAAGGCATTGCTCCCTTTGATGAAAAATATCAAGAGGCAGTGTGGTGTGGTGGTGGTTAAATTGGTGTCCTAGGACTTAGGAGACCAGGGTTCAAATCCCCATTCATCCATGAAGCTTGCTGGTTGACGTGGGGCCAGTTATTGTCTCTCAGCCTATCCTACCTTACATGGTTATTGGAAAAATAAAAGTGGAGAAGGGAGAAGCCATGTGCGGCTCCTTGAGCTCCTTAGAGTAAAGGCGGGGTGAATATAAATGCAATGATAAATAAAAAACAATAGAAATGTATAGGGTTCTTCACTCTTTTTCTACAGTATCCATTGCAGCAGAGTACAGTAAAAGCAAAATATGACTGTGAGCATTTCTTCATTCAGGTAGGTTTCATTGATCTGGTTGTTTGGTGCACTACAATCTAAAATGCCTAACATTAATAAAACAGAACATTTACATAGCTCATTACAAGGTTCAAAGTGCTTCCCCTCTATAATTCCCCTCATCTTTACAATAGCCCTGGGTCAGTTATGGATTGTTTGAAGGGCTAACCATAATAGAACATAAGGATGTAAAATACCGGTAGCAGTGATTTCCGTTCTGACCTGTATTAGTCACCATCAGTGCTGTGTCTGTTCCCCTGCAATTCACTTTCTGCCAAATTCTACGTTCTTCACCTTGCTGTCCACTATTTAATGTTATGTTACTTATGTAACTATTTACATAACTTAATTCATTTTGATGTAAAGGAAATGGCAAAAAGATGTTTTAGAAAGTTCATTAGGTACATATTGTTTGTGGCCTTTAAAATAACAACAACAACAAAAACAGAAATGATGTGAACAAATACTGATTACATTAACTTGACTGTTATCCATTCTCGACCACAGACAAACATGCAAACTGCAACAATTCCTGCTTTTTCATGTTTTCACTGAAATGATCTGACATCTTTAACAGTACAAGATGCTGAAGGACATGTCACACATAGGTCCACTGGCTTAGCCCACGCCAGAAGAAGAAAGTGAAGCTGGCAAAGAATAGAAGAAGAGCCTGCAGGATCAGGCCAGTGCCCATCTAGCCCAGCACCCTGTTCTCACAGTGGCCATCCAGATGCCTGTGTAAAACCTGCAAGCACAACCTAAGCACGAGAGCCTTCTTTCCTCCTGAGGTTTCCAGCAACTTATGTGCAAGACCAGGTGGTGGTGAGCACATGTATTTGCAGAGCCCCGCTGGCAGAAAATCCATTTGCTTCTGGCAGCTTGGAGCCCCAAGGCACAGGGTCGGAAGGCACAAGACAATGCAGCAATTTCCAGGAAAGCTCAATGAAATCAAAAGCCAACATTTTGCAGTTTCTTTCCTTTTATTTTACTGCTTCCTGCTGATTGCACTGTATCTTCTTATTGCCGATAGGGAGCTATGAGGATTGCCAGAGGCCACCTAGTGTCGCTGTGGCTGGACGCCATGAGATTTGACTGGGGATTTCCCAGCTCACTACACTGCCCCAGCTCTCCTCATGCAGATATTTTCCTGTGATTTGGGAGTTATTCTTGCCTGTGTGCCACAGAACTCCAAACCCACCTGCCTGATTCAGGCTGCACCCATACACGCTTGCCCTGGTACATTCCTGCAAGCTATGCCTTCTGATCTGGGAACCTTGCACAAAGGTGTGACTGTGCTGTATTCATTCACTGGGGAAGAAAAAGCCCTGTGTGAACATTCTCAGGTGTGCTCTTCGTTGTTCTTTTGTCTCATTGCATTGAAAAGAGGATCCATGACTAAGCCTGAGTGAACCATGAGTCACCCAAAATCTGTATGTATACTTCACACATTGTACTTTGAAGCAGTGCCTTGCTTTACTGGCATTTTAAAAGCAGACGTGACTCCCCTTAAGCTCTCCATAAAAATGAATACTACAGAAACTGACAGGGGATAAAGCAGCTAACCATAGGGAGGAAGTGGTAAAATAATAGGAGGTGAATTGCAAATTCTTGGCTTTTAACATCATTGAGCTCTCCTAGAAAGTTTTGCAGGCCTTCTTTGCAGCTCTGCTATTACTCTACCATGGGCTATACAGGCAGGGATGCAGAACTCTATGGGTGGCATGCAGCTAAATTTTACACAGAATAGACTCGTTGAAATTAATTAATTTGACTAAGTCTAAGGGCTGCCCTTGCTCACAGCACTCCTGGCTTAATACATTCTGCTTCAGGAGGTCCTTCTATGCTGTCCTTCCTTGATATCCCAAATCAGTTGCTTGAGGCAAACTCTGCCCTACTTTGCCCAATGGTAGAGCTGGCCCTGACCCAGTGGCCAGCACCAAATCTTTGATGTGATCTTCTTTTGGGGGCTCAGTGTCACATTTTTCAAACCGCCTCCCTTTCTGGGGACATCATTCTCTGGAGCTGTACAATCTTTATCGTGGTTGCTGATACAACGAGCCAGTTGAGGTGCATCATTACCACTGCTACATTGCATACAGTGACTGAGAAAGAGGAGGAGTTGTTCAAGGCCTATGGCAGAGATGAGATGCGGATCCAAAGCTAACGCTGTCCATTGCTGTGTGAAGGGTTAATCACATGAGTAGTGGGTTGTGGAACCAGGCTCCTGCCCCAGGCATCAGGCCTGATGCCTCGCCCTACCTCTAGATGTCCATGTGTTAGCATGGTTGTCTGCAAACATAAAGCCTATGCAATCAGGACACCCAACTGTGCCTGTGTCCCAATTGTGTGGAAGCCTAGAGATTCCAGAGGCTGGACCTCACACCTTGTGTGTGCCAAGAATGCTCTCTACCACTGAGCTCCAGCACATATCTCTGGCCACAGCTCTGCTCGGCTGAGACCCTGCTGGGCCTCACTTTCTGTATAGCTTTTATTCCCCCTTTCTGCACCAACTGGCAAATGGGCAGTTTCACATCACTTCATGGCAATTTGCTCCAGATTAAACATTCGCTGTGGCAACAGGAGGAGGAAAAAGCAGTCCTTTGAAGCAGAGTGTAACTCCTGTTGCTCACCAAGAACCTTCTATAGATGGATCAGTTCCAATGAACCTTTCCTCTGGAAGTGGGTTTTCTCTGTTCCTGTCTCTTTCTTCTCGTTGCCACCTTGTGAGAAGGAGTTAACAGACTTTGACTTGACATAGAAAAAGACACTTTCAGCCAATTAAAAGATATAATAGCGGGAAGAGGGAAAGGAACATGGTGCTTCCTGCATGCGAGGAGTTCATTGTCACTCAGTCCTTCATGCTGCTGGAAGGATTAAAGTGCACAGGGGCGGTCTGTGAGAGACTTAATGCTAAGCTCCTGAGCTGCAGTTACATTCTTCAGAGCACAGAGACAATAATTCATTACTGATGAGGATGGAAAAATTACTTTTTTAATTTACTTATTGATTTCCTACCCCCACATGCCTGCCTGCCTGCCCCCTCCTCTCTCTTCCTCTCTCCCTCTTCCTCTCCCTCTCCTTCAACCTCATACAACAGTTTATTTCTAGGTGGAAATTAGCTCCCAATAGACACGGGGTCAAATGAAGAGGCAAACAGTGAAAAGTAACAAAGAGCATATCTATATAATGGATCAATCTGGTTTTAACAGATTAGTTGGTTAGTTCCTCTTCCCGAGGAAATCAGGGATCTGAGGAAAAGACTATAGATGTATGCCAGTATTCTCAGCACTCTCATGAAACTTTGAGGTGGTATCCAATGCCCACATTCTGTTAGTGGAAAGATTTGTGCAATAAAATTTCCCCTTCCTCCCTCTCCCATGTACCCTATGCCCTCCCCATGGGGAACCCCCCAGGAGAGATTATGGGGGGCTGCAGGGCAAGGAGGGGAAGTTCTGTTGCACAAGGATAAATTCTT